AGAATTAAAGCAAAGAATAAGACATTTTAAAACAATTGATATTTTTAAATAAATTTTGACATTATTGTGTTTATTAGTACAAATATAATGGGTTTCATGTTTACGTTGTTCCTATAAAAAAGCAAATATAGCACGCGCTTCTGTTTTTATGAAGTACCAGCTATGTTCGAGGCTATCAATAAATATTTAATGGAGTACACGAGTACCAAATTAAATTACACACATGTAATTTTCCATATGATTTCTTTATACGGGTTAATTTGTAAATTGAACAACAAGACTAAATTAACCATAGTCTGTTGTTGAGAAAAGGATAATAAAGTACATATGTAATCGGTTTTTTTAATGAACAACTATTTTATTACATGTATATTTTGAAAACAATGAATTTGTGTTTACAATCATGCGGTGGTGCCGTGTCGACCGCTTTTTAATTACGACGGAACACCCCTAGGCTTTTGCTTTCAATAAATTGAAATTGGACGATTAATTTTCGATTTTGGCGTCGCGTCTCCCCTCGTACGCAAATAGCCTTCATGTTTTAATATTTAGAACATTTGCTACGGAAGTAAGAAAGTCGGTGGGAATTTACGGAGACGATCTAACAAATAGATTTGAACAATACTTACGTTATTATGGGTTACTCATGTCAAAATACCTCTACCAAATTGCCTTCTCTCATTATATTGGATAACAAATTCTGAAAGTGTGTCGGTACTGTAAGTTTACGCTTATTTAAAGTAATAAAATATTAAAAAAACTTCATTTATCCACATATTCTATAACAAATCTGGACGATATTTTTATTTATGTAATTCCTGTGTTGTTAAAATGTTAATTTTGATATAGCTATACTAAATGTGTTGTTAAATTAAAAGAAAAACACGTTTACTTAATTAGTTATTGAGTAGTTAACGTTCCACTTTCAGTTTCTAAGAATTAGGACAAATTATACATGTATGTAATCACCGACCTCTTATCGACTATTAGTCGACTTCAAAACTTTAACCGATAAATTAGGAATCCGAGCTCGGCTCGAACTTTGTCTAACAATATCATAATTATGTTTCATTACACTCGATTTTAGTACCATAAAATATCAGGTTATAAATAGCATTTTTATACGTGTTGGAAGACAAGCAAGTGACAGCCTAAATATTAAAATAGCGAAGTGACCGCGGCCTCAGTTACAAATGTGTTTCCTACCGTTGGACAATGGAGAGAATGGACACTTTTCCGTTCTCTGCATTGTCATTTCTTTTACCTAAAACTTTATCAATCACTTTATAACACCAGTTTTTGTATAGGCCTTACACAACTGCCCTATTCACCTGGCCGAGTGACGAAAGTCTCGTTTGACATATGTTGTGGTGTTAGAGACAACCAGTACACTTCCTAGCTAAAAAAACGTACCGTTTCAATGTTTACACACTTTAACAGCAAATACATGTGTGCAACACCATAATATAACAGTATTATAGGTTTCCAAAGATAGCCCTTGTATATAATAAACTAAATACTGAAAGACTAGTCAAAAATACCTCAAACATTGTGACCGGTTGTTCGCGGCAGTTCGTTAACACCCTACGCGGCTCGGCGCGCTTTGTGCAACGTTCCCAATTACCTAGCCCCCGACAATTAAATACATTCCGACAGCTAGCTAGCTAAATTAAAAGCACCAACACCTACAAAGGCCAAATTACCATAGAACGAAAATATTTCAATACTTGAATTCATATTTTAGGATGATTTAAAAAAATGTTTCCAGCTCTCACAGTTAAAGGTCATTAAAAGTTCTTTAACGTTGATTTAATACGAGAAAACTTCAGTCAGGATAAAGTCAATTGAAGGATCTGAGCGGCAATCTCTTCTTTTTAATTTAATTTAGGTTATTTCTGTCATCTACCTCTACATTTCATTTAATAATTAAATGTTGATTAATACATGAAATGTATTTAGATAACGCTCTATTAAAAAGTGTTTTCACAACATTCGTAAGTTTACTTCACAATAACTTGAGCATAAAACACCTGATACCCACTTTATTTTGTATCGAGGGAATATCTCATACGTTTTATCGAATATTTTTCCTTTTCCAATATGTTAAATGAACAATTACATTGAAAGCGAATGCTTCGATGTTTGAAATACAACTACAGTAATCTAGGTTCCAGATACAGATATATTTTAGTACAATAAAAATACATTTTATTTTACTTGTGATATGAAACTCAAAATGTTCAACCAATATTTTTATTTCTTAAGTACATCTATTCTCATTTAGTTTTAAAATCTATTCCTTGATTTGCCTTGAAGGTACAGACGATATAAATTCATCATTACGTTCTTCTGTAATTATTTGTAATTAAAAATTAATTAACAATCTCTACCAAAAATGTAAGATTTAATATTAACTAGCTGTTTCCGTGGGACTTCATCCGCATAAAATTATGAAAATTCTATTTTTACATGTGTCAAATTATCAATTGCAAATGTCAAAATGACATGATGACAAACCATGGCAACCTCGCTTCCTTAATGTTGGCAGCTTGTAGTTTATGGTCCCTTTCCCACATGGAGTTTTTTTCAGTTTATTTATCCTCCAAGTTTAATAGCGTAAAAATATATTGCCTAAAGCCTGCGGTTAGTGTATCTTTTTATTAAAGAAAGAATTATTAAAAAATTTGCTGTGATTGCTGATATCCTACTTCACAAAATAGTATGTATTTACGCTTTATTATATTAGTATAGATATAGGTTAAATAATGTAGCATTCAAAGAACACCGATAAATGAATTAATATGTAAGTGTACGCCAAACGATTTTTAAATGAAAACACTTCAGTTGAACGTATCGGCTTGTGGTCTCTAGGTGATTGGAAGTGGTCCCAGAGTGGTCTCAGTAGGGTTGTGCCTAGTATGGGGTGCTCAGACCCCCAGGAGTGATTCACTTAGTTATATTTCCGACAGTACAAGTGCACCCCACAATCCCCCCTCAATTGTGGTTTGCATATGAAAACTGCGGTTTAATTTTACTGTATGTTTTGAACACTAATATCACCATTAAAACTTGTCCGTCAAAAATTATGTCAACATAGCTGTTGCTCGCGACTTACTACCTTAACCTACTCTGGAAAAAAAACAATAAAATATAGGTATAGCCTTTATTAACAGATAAATTACCTTTCTAATGGTGAAAGAAATTTTGAAATCGGCCTAGTAATTTTGGAGTTATTCCAATACATACAAAAATACAAATCTTTCCTCTTTATAACATTAGTATAGAAGTATAGATTACGATTCTACATTATCACTAAGTTTTTATTAATTGACTATTTAATATGAAATGTTAAAAAAATAAGTAATCTTCTATGCGAAGTAACTGCCCTCTAGTATATATTTTGTAAACACAACGTAGGTTCTGGAACATTAATTGAATTCGTGTCGTAAATTAAAAATAATTAAGTTATCTTCTCAATACAATCTACCTCATTAGTTTTTAGTTACTCCCATTTAAAGTGAAACGTGGAATGTGTCTTTTTATTTGCATTTTATATTAATCAAACCGTATGAAAGCTTACTAATTATTCGCTTCGGTGCGTGTTTGTGATGTTATTGAATTGCACACGTCATCGTACACCTGATATCGGACAGTGATAGCCGCTGAATGCCTTCCAAATACTGGAGCATGTAATTAGTACTGCGTTTAATGTGCTAGCTCGATCTTGATGTCGTTTAATGACATGCATGTAATTTGCAAAGTTCCGATATATGTGCAACTTATTTCGACTGTTACACTTTTAATTATATACACGTCGTATCGATAGATGCAGATATAAATTATGCTATCCGATTCATTCAGAGCCTTAAATTTGAATGGCCATTAAGTTTCTTTTCAAAGTAAATCATCACTAATCAAATGTAATTTCATCGCTACAATAAATCAAGTAAAATAATTCTGCATGAAATGAATAATTCCATTTCATTGAACGAAATGTTGACCGTTTATAACCTCAATTAATAATTATCGAAAATACTGGAATGAACGTATCGCTAAAGACCGCATTGCTTTTGTTCAACATATAAAATTAAATTGCTTTATTGTGCAGCCCAGTGGCCGTCCCCCGCGACCGCTACAAAGTCTCCCCTCCCCCAAAACCTCCCCCTACAATTGTTTGTATGGCATATGGCGACCGGCTCAAGTTACAATACTTCGAATTCACAACTCTTTTCACGAGCCATTTTTTTTAAATAACGCCCACCAACACAATCATTGTCAAAAACAATACACGTTCGAAAATAACTTACGTTATTGCAGCGTTTGACGTGAATAGAGGCTTTATTTTATGTTTTGTTTTGAAATTACGGTGAAGGTTTTAACTCGTTTTTACAAATATAGTGCGAAAAATACGTAAATTGCATCAAATAACACCAGTTGGGTCTTGTTCGTTTGTTTTTTTATCAAAACAAAGATTAACTTTTTAGGCATGACAGTTAATTTTGGAGTTTAAAATCAATAGATTACTTGATTGTGATAAAACAAACTTTTCGTCATTTAATCAATATAGGTGTAATCAATGACAGGATACATTTACATTAACGTAATCCGTCTGATCGTGTACTTGTGGTCTTTATTCATCAATTTACTCGAGCGCCACCCCGCGGGTTCAGTCG